AATGTGCTAGTTACATGTGATGACATGAGTGCCATGAGAACTGGGACTTGATTCACTAATACAGCAACTTGAACAGTATAGAGCACTTAGTAGGTGCTCAGTTAAGCATTTATTGAAGAAGGCGAACTGAGTAGAGGTTAGAACCTAAATCCCAGAACCTGAATCTCAGAAAACGTGGGCCAGAGAACTCAGATGGAAGCCCTCAAAGAGGCCCAGAATTTCAGATATGTGACATGGGGAGAGGCTTGGGCAGAGCCAGGCCCCGCTGTAGGCCCAAGAGAATGAAGCCTGGGGCAGCACTTGGCAGTTGCTCTGTTGTTTTGTGGTGGTTAAGACAGACCCAGTTTTCACGGGCTCTGTCAGGAGTCTGTTTAGAATCTGGGGTCCTTTGCTGAGGCAATGGGAAAAGAGGCATTAGAATTGGGACGGGGAAGGGTCTAGAAAAGTCTGGGGAAAACTGCAATCACTCCACAAGAGAGTAATCACAGGGTTCCCAGCAGAGCTCCAGGGGAAGCCAGGCACCATCTGTGGTAGAGCTGGGGAGGGGATGTCCAGGCAGGGCCATGGACTGGCACGTCACCTACCCTGGAGGACCCAAGAAATACCCATGTCTTCCTTGAGACATAGGTCTCCTGCTCAGTGACCAGCAAGTGCTGCAGATTTTCCCCTAGACTCCTACTGGGGAAGAGGGTCCTTTCTAGGCTCTGATTGCCCCCGCGTCCATTCACACCTTTGCCTCCCTCACTCCTTCCCCAACAGTCGTGACTGTTCACCCACTGCCAGGCTGTGAGCTGGGTGCAGCTTCCTCGAGAAGCATGTGGTCTCCGAGACGCCCCTGGCCATGCCCCTGCTCTGAACCCGGCTCTGGGGCAGTGTGTGGGTGGGATGGGGGAGCAGGGGGGCAATCTCCTGTAGTCAGGGAGAAGCAAGCTTGCTGTTACAGGGCCCGGAACCTGTTTTTCTTGGTACGCTTTGTTCTCTTGTATTTCTTTTGTCTGGTTCTCTTGTTTCTCCCTAGGCTTTGGCTACAGTCCTTTTAAAATGCACAGCCCATCTTGGGAGAGCCCAAGGGGAAAAAGAGGCTGGAATTGGATGTTAAGACTGTTGGTTCAGAGAGAAAGTCAGGCAGCAAGCCCGGGGCCAGGAGCTGCGGGCACAGCACCCGACGGGAGAGGAAACTCAGAAGGGGTGCACCTGGAGACCCACCTACACAGTGCTCTCCTGTCTATTCTGGGAAGGCCTGTGTTTCTTCTTAAGAATGGAGACTGGGAAAAGGAGCTGCAGCCTGCCTCGGGAGCACAGCTCCAAGCAGACTGGGGGAAGCTGTGAAGGCTGCACTTCCCTTCTCATTAGTGGGGAGATACGTATGTAGGAGATGACCAGGAGGACTTCCAGAGGAAGTGGGGGTTCTGGTGCAGGAGGGGAGAAGGGGCGGTGCCATGGCCTCTACAATGGTGCCAGTGTAGAGTGCCAGCCTGACTCCAGAAGACCTGTCCTCAGAGGTTTTTTCCTGTGTTTTGCAACCATCCTAGGCCAGGTAGGTTCATTGTCTGTTCTAGAAATTTGAAGGAGAATTTTGGCATCATTTTGACAGGATTTAGTCAGCAGGGAGACAGCACCTTGACCCCCTATGAATCCCTGTACCTCTTTTCTCCAGGCTTTCTCTGGCGTTCTCTGGTGGTCTCCGCCTCTCATAGCCGTTGCTCAGCCTCTCATAGCTCTTCCGCCATCCTTAGACCCCTCCCTCCTAGGTACAGGTGCGCATACTTGCACATGCGCACCCACGCTCAGGTGTCCATAATCAGGCATGCATGCCCCACACCCTCCTGCCTTCTGTAAACAAGATCAGAGCTGCAGGCGATAGCCACAGAGGCCAGTGGCGCAAAAGCCCGACCAACCTCATTTACCCTACACTGGGGCTTCGGGAGACTGTAACCAGCGAGCAGCTGAGGGGGCCTGGGATCGAGAAAGAGGGTAGACTGTGTGAAGAGAGGCACTGTCTGGCAACCCTGTGCCCTTCCCCCCTACTCTTGCCCCTACACACACTTCCCCGCCTCATTCCTGGCAAGAACCCACCTGGTCTGTGGGATCATTTGTAATCACAGCTGCTTGCACAGCCTCAGGCTTTGCCCCTTGAGACCTGGGAACTGCCAGCACCTCCAGGAAGTTCTTGCCCAGATGCTGAGGCTCAGAGCAGGGGCAGGGAGACACTGGAACCCAAAGTAGGGAACGAAGAGTCTTTCAAGGAACCTCCCTAACGAGCTCTCCACAGAGGTGGAAGAACCTGCAAGGAAGAGGGGCATGGGTTTTCCCATCCTTCCTTCCAGAGTCTTCCAGCCGCCTCTGCTGCTACCATGGTGCAGGCCCCAAGGGGGCAACTTCCAGCTCTGACATTCTCCCTCCAGGCAGCCAGGATGGAGGGAGTGTCTGAAGGGTAGTGTCACAGGGCCATTGGAGGGAGGAGGGCACTGCTTTATCACTGGAGCTCCCTCTTGACCCCCCAAAGGCTGCCCACTGGGTTCTCAGCCCTCCCCTTCAGATAGGCAGCTCCCTAAGTGAGCAGCCCAGAGAGGAGGCAGAGCCAGCCAGTGGCCGCCTGGGTGTTCTCCCTAGCCTGTGCAGCACAGGCCTCTGGAACCTGCTCCCCGCACCCACCAGTCTGGCTTTTCTGTTCAGCTCCTTGGCCTCCGGCCCCTCTTGCATGAACACACCTACGACTGCGCTATCAGGGGCCACTAACCTGTCTTCCTCCTCTCACCTCACCCTACTCTGGCTCTCCCTTTTGGCGACCCCCCTCTGCTTCACAGGAGGCCTCCTCCCCTCTCCGCCCCTGGCTAATCAGCCATGGAAAGAGCTGCCAGTGGGGCTGATGGATGGGGGCTTCGGCTCTGCCTCCCCTGCGCCCCCACCCCTCTGCTCACCTCTCCCTCCGTCACACATTTTATCATCAGGGAAGGGCACCAAGGAAGCAGAGGGGGTGGCTGGGGAGATAATAGGGTGGTGCAAGCAGCTCCTGCTGATAAGGATTGCGGCCTCCCCAGGGATGGGGAGCTGGCGGCTGTCTGAATGAGGCAGAATGCCCCTGACCCTCCTGTCCTGACAGAGCAGCAGCATCTGGAGGTAGCTGGGGGGGCGGGGGGGATGCTGCCATGGAAGAGGCGCTGGGGCCGAGAACAGCCACACTGAATCGGAATCTCAGCTTTGACAGTTCTCAGCTGTATGACTCGGGCAGCGAAGCCTCAATTTTCCCATCTGGAAAGCACAGTCCACACTGTCAACCTCAGTGCCTGGCACCCAATGTGAGATCAATGCATGTTGGCTCCTGTCCCTGCTTTCAGGGTGCTGGGATACCCCGTGTCCCTGAAATCTCTTCCCTACATTGGAAGTTAACCCTTTCCTAGAGGGCAGTCCATGCACGCCCACATGTCATATAGTGAGTGCCTCCTTGCAATTAGGAAAGCTGGTACCCAAAGTAAGGTTAACAGTGACCAAGATACTAGAAGGAGCCTGAGCTCAGAGTAGCAGGTTGCTGGGAGCCACCCAGAGGAGGTTTGCTGAGACCAGTTTTAAAGGGGCCCGAGGGCCCCAGCTCTGCCTGCCCCGGCCCACACTGGGTGACCTTGAGGAAATCTTTCCCCTCTTAGCTCCTTCCTCACCTCGCAGGGGTGTTGGGTAGGGGATGGGCCGATGGGCCGCAGGCTTTGTGAGGTCTCTGCCCTGTCGCCTCCCCTACAAAGGGACCCAGCTTAGGGTTGTTCATCTGGTGAAAATCTAGTCCTCACTTTCTCCACCTTCCTCCCGTCCCTCTTCCCAGCCCCCACCCTGCCGCTTGGGGTCTGTAATCAATGAGACGTAAAATGAGAAAGTATCAGGAACTAGCCTTGCATGGCGAGCAGCTGGGGCAGCCTCTTGTGATGGACGGCTTGTCCTTCCTCCCTGCCGGCCTCCCATGGCCTCCCATGCCCAGCTCGAGCCGCCAGGTGGGCAGCCACTCACCCCGCCTGGGCCAGGGCCCCCAGCTGGAGATCAGAATGTGGACGCCTATTTTTAAGGAATCTAAAATCTCACCTGAAAATCAAGAGGAGTGGAATCTATGTGTATCGATGAGGAAAGACATACCCAGGCTGTATGGCTGAGTCATGGAAGCAGCTTACACGATCTCACCTATAAGTGAGTGCATTTAGGGTTATTACAGAGAAGTGTTTGTACACACAGAAGATTATGCGCGGGGCAGACTCCAAACTGTGAACAGCAGTTACCTCTGGGAGTGAGATCACAGAGGAAACATTTACTCTCTCCACGTTTCCTGGTTGGACTCCTAAAACAAGTATACATTGTTCATATGATAAAGATATTTTGCCAGGGGCGGGAAGGGGCCTGGGCTAATGAAAATGCTCAGTGCCTGCTCTGGCTGAACTATCAAACCAGGGTGGAAGCCAGCGAACTCTCAAAGCACTGGGTTGAAAACCAAAGTACAAAGTGTTAGATTTTTTTGGAAGAGAAAATCAACAGTCCCTTCATGAGACTACTTTGTGAGACAAAATATGTCAAAACACATGATTCCTAAAGCAAAGGGGAATAGTTGTAAGAGGTCCTTCGTGTCTGCAGCGGAAACCTGGACTGACTGGCTGCCGTCAGCGAGGACAGCCAGGGCCTGGGCCCCATACCCTACACAGCCTGTGGTCCAGCCACTCTCCTGCAAGGGGACACAGCTTCCTTCCGCCAGCCAGAGAACAGTCCGGCCGAGGGTGCCTTTGGGAACCTCTCTCCAGGATTGCTTGGCTCCCTGCCTCCAGCTTTCTCCTGCACCTGAGCCCAGGGCACAGGCAGAGTCTCCCTGAGCCAAGGATCCAGACTTGTGTGCCCTGTGAAGTAGGGCAGGTGGGAAAAGGTGGGTTTTAGCCCATAGTGGAATGGGTATTTTGGGGTGGGGGTAGGCAGAGAAGGGGCAGGAGGGCTGTGGAAGGGCACCCCAGAGGAGAGGCCCATCAGTTCCCCCATGGGCAATTCTACTCCCCTCCTCAGGAGTCAGTGAAGCTGCTAAAAGATGCAGTCAGACACAAGTTTATTGGTGGAGCTGTGGTAGAGTCCTCCCTCTCTCTGGGATAGCCGAGGGCACAGCACCAAAAGAGGGAGCGACAGACAGACCCCCAGACACTTACAGGGATGGTGCAGACCCATAGAGACCATAGCACAGCCACACAGGCACAGACACACACAGGCCACAGCACCAAGAAACACACACGGAGACAAAACCACAGGGCTAGAACACAGAGACAAAGTGCGAGTTTTGGGGCTCCTGCATAGACAGCGCGAGGGCCAGGTGGGGAGGGGGCCCCTGCTGACCTCCCCCGGGCATAGGCACACCGACAGCACACAGACAGGCAGATGCCCCCAGCCAGCCAGCCTGCCACACGGACAAATGAACTGCACGGAAAGGACACTAGTGGCTTCCCGGACCATGGGGAATAGGGGACCCCAAGACCTACCACCCCCACTGCATTGAGGCCCAGGATGCCCGCTCCAGAAATGGCCAAATCTGTTCAGCCCCACTCCCTGACACACTTTGGTCTTGCCTGCGAGGGCTGGGGGCTGGTAGTTGGCAGGTGGAAGGAAGGAGAGCGGAAGGGGTATGACCCCGGCTCTGTCCCTTCTCTGAGCAGGGAGGCAGGTGATGAGTCCAGGGCTGAGGCTGGGCCTGGCAGTGGGGTGGAGCTGGGACAGCGGCTCAGGCTTGGGGGGGCTCCTGGCAGCGCAGGCACTGGGCCATCTCGGGCTGGTACTGCTCGACCTGCAGGGTGCAGCTGGAGAATCCAAACCGGGAGTGGAGCCGGGATGTGGCTTCAGCCAGGACAGCTTCGGGGTCAGCCGTGGAGTCTGTGGGAGAGTGATAAGAGGCAGCAGCTTCCCAGGGGAGTCAGGAGCCAGGCAGGGGCTGAGATAAGGACCGGCGAAGGGGTACCCAAGGGCTTGCACAGCTTTAAAGCCAGGCGGAGTGGGGTGGGGGGCTTTCTTCTCGTTCTCTATTGTATGACCAGCATAAAAAACGTCAAAGAAGACGCTAGAGAGACTCGCCCCTAATGGACCGTGCTAGCACACTGCACTGTTCTCATTTCTTCTGTTCTCTCCTGCCTGGAGCGGCACAAGCAGCTCTGTTTCAGCAGCCGAACCACCTAATTTTCCAGGAAAACCCAGATGTTAAATATTCTAACCATTGTCCCATCTAGAGTCACCATCAACTATCCCACAGAGTATAATATTTTTGGCATCCAAATTGCATCTCTGATTGCTTCTTGCATCTGGAAGAAACTCAAAAATCCTTTGTCAGCTTTGTGAGTCACCATATATATTTTTGATAGTTGAATCATAATGTAGATATAATTTTGTACTCCACTTTTTCCTCTTAGCATTATACCATAAACATTTTTCCTAGTTGCCATACAGTCTTCATAATCATCGCTTTTAATAGTTACATGATTCCCCACTGAGCGGAGCTGCTGTGAGTTACCGGGCTGTGCCCCATTGCTGGCCCTGTAGGCACTACTGATTTCTTAAAGAGGTGCTGGCTCCCTGCACTACTTCAGAGGGGGCGAGGCCCCCTCAGCATCCTTTTCAAGGCTCCTTGTCTCCAATACACGTGTGTGTGAGAGAGAGACAGAGACCAAGAAAGAGGCACTGAAAGAACCCCAGTAATCAAGCTCTCTTCCTGTATTTGTATGGGGGTGAGAGGGGTGGAGGGAAACGCCTCGGGAAGGAGCTGGTGGCGGGCGTGGACTCACCAATGGCCAGGTGTGCAGAGGCAAGGTGGTAAGTGAGCGTCAGAGACCACAGGTGCAGCTCATGAGTTGCCCGGACTCCTGGCACTGACAAAAGTGTATCCCGTACCGGCTCAAACCCCACATTTCGGGGGGTACCTGTAAGTAGTACCCACCATGCTTTACTGCCCGGACTGGTCCTGCCCAGGGGTAGCCCCCACAGACTCACCTCCCCCATTCTGCTCATCCTTTGATCCCCACATTCACTCTGTACTTGAGTGTTCCTACCAGCAATAGGCCCGAAGGCCTCAGGCCTTCTCTCCACACTCTTTGCAGAACAAAAAGAGGAGGCCCAGAGCTGGAGTGAGGTCAGAGAGGACCCCAGGGCTGGGGAGCAGTGGTGTCTGATTCACCTTCCATGAGGACACGGAGAACATCTCTTAGGGTGGGAGCCGAGGATCCAAGGGCACAGATGGAGAAGAGGAAGGTGCTGATGGGGTCAGCTGCCTTGTACTGAGGCTGTAGAGAAGAGACCCCTAAGCCCAGAAACCAGGGAGCTTTCCAAGGAAGTTCTTGGGGCATCTTGAGCTCGGACCCCAGTTGAAGGAAAGGGGCCAGGAGCCCTAAGGAGGTAGAGTCAGGGCGGGGAGCAGCGGGTCCCAGTAAAGGGGCTGGGTGTGCAGCTGGGGAGGAGGGCTGGAGTGGGCCTGCACAGATGGGACAAGACGGTACCTTGAAGTAGATGAGAATGGAGGCAGCCAGCACCCCAAGACTCTGCAGGAGGTCCCCCAGCACATGCACAAAGGCTGCTCGGACGCTGGTGTTCCCCAGGGGCAGGGACTCCCCGGACCCTTCCTCCAGCGGTGCATACTCTGCCCCATGGGACCCATGGCTGTGGTGGGGGCCAGCCTGGTGCAGCACAAAGGCCATTCTGACGGTGAAGCAGCAGTCAGCAGGGTCTCCTTCGGGCTTCCTCACACCTCCCCATGATCCCTGTCTCCACCTACTTCCTCCCTCCCTTCCCGGTCCTGCTGAGAAGACACACTGTGTAAGTGAGGACAGGAGTGCGGCCTGCGGAAAGAGCACTGGGCGTGGTGCTGGGGACATGGAGCCAGATCCTGGCCCTATTACCGAAAGGACCGCGTGCCTGGGCGGGTCTCCTGTCACCACTCGGGATCGATCCTATTAACTGTAAACTCAGAGTAAAACTATCTTCCTTGTGGGGTGGTTGAGATAACACTGAAGAGATCCCCCCGCCCCACCAGGGTGGCTGGTAGACAGCCAGGCCCTCAATGTCTGATGACCTTGACATTTAGGTCTCCCGGGGTGCCCTTGGCGGGAGTTCCCAAGACAGTTGAGAACTACGTGTGCACATTGCGCATCTGTTGAGGAAAAGGGGTGCCAGCTCTCCCACCCTGCAGAAGGACCCTTGGCCCTGAGCCCCAAGCCCCATGGGATGCCTGCCCCGCACTGACACGTACAGCAGGTTGGCACAGACTGCGATGCTGGCGGTCAGCAGCATGGCACCCCCCTCGATGTGGTAGTCGCTGTGCAGCAGACGAATGAAGGCCAGGTACAGGAGGATGCCAGTGACCATCCAGAGGGAAACCACAGAGGCCAGAGCCCCCAGAGTCTCTGCAGGGGGAGACAAGCTATCAGACACCTTCCTAGGACCCTAAGGTATCCTCTGGCCAGACAGGAGTGTCCCCAGGCCAGGCAGGGGCCTTACCTGAGCGGTGCCAGCCAAAGGTCATGGTGCGGGTGGCTGGACGGGTGGAAAGCCAGAGGGAGAAGAGGCTGCCCACCATGCTGCCCACGTCAGCCAGCAGGTGGGCTGCGTCAGTCATAATGGCCAGGCTGTGCGCCAGATACCCACCTGCAAGGGCAGACGACGCGTCATCTGGGTCCATTTAGAAAACACCATGCAGTGTGCATGCGTGTGTGTGTGTGTGTGTGTGTGTGTAGGGGGGGTGGGAATAGGGAAAATAAATAAATAGGGAATAGGGTGTAGGGGGACATACACCAAAATATGAGCTATGATTTTTCTCTAGTAAGGGGATGTTTTTCCCACCAGGTAGTTTTTATTTTCTTCTTCTCAGTCATCCACATTTTCTAGTTTTTCTACAATGACATATTTTGAAAATGGGAAAACCAGGCATTTAAAAGGCCAGGTGCCCTAGTCCTCTGGCCCGGGCCCTGAATTCCGCTTGGTGCTGTCCTTCACCCTCTCCCAATTCCTGAGTCCTGGGCACCCAACACCCCCTACCCAGCTTCTCCAGCTTCTCGGCACCTCCACCCCAACCTCCCTGGGCTTCCGTGTGGGGAGTGGCTCAGGCAGGTGCTGGGGGGGGCGTGTCGGAGGAAACCTCTCTCCAACTTACCGACCACCTCCCCTGCCATGAAGACACAGCACACGGCACAGGCGGCACACAGCTGCCTCTGTGCCTGCAGCCTCTCGGGGGTGAGACCCGGCTGCGGCAGGGGATCCCGGTGGCAGTGGTGGAAGGGCATTTCCACAGGTTTGGACTCCTCTGAGAGGGCCTCTGAGGACTCTGTGAAGAGACTAAGGTGGGCAACATGGTTCAAGCTGGGGCCTGACCACGGCTGGCCGCTCCTCATGCCCAGGGCCTCCATCAGGCAGGGCCCACCTTCCACTGCTTCCCAGCACCTGGTCAGAGCCATGGAGCGAGGACCACATGAGAGGTGGGGGCTAAACAAGCCCTTAGGTCCCTGTGGCCCTTTTCCTTTCTTGGAGTTCACAGCTGGAAAGCACCTTAGAGGTGGTCTGTCCTAACATTTTATTAAAGAAGTTACAAGTCTGAGGCTCAGGTGGGGAGGGGCCTCTGGCTGCCACACCACAAGTTGGGATAGGGCTAACCACATCAACTGGCATGACAGGCCCCATTTCTAAGGAATTCCCAGTGAGCAGGACACTTTCTGCTCTTGGGGAACAAGACAAGCTCGTCCCTACTCACTGGGATATGCAGCAGGGGTGCTGCTGCTATCAGAGCCATGACAACAAAGTGCTGTCAGGGCTCAGATAGAACAATTCTGAGGAAACAGGGAAATGACCAAAGGAGGAACCATGGAAAGGGCCTTGAAAGATGGGAAGGATTTGACAAAGACATGAACACACCAACAAAGGCAAGGGGAGAAGGAGGGTGGTGTGGCGTGTGGGGCTGGACTCATGAACAGGAGTCCTGGCCTGGTGCCCTCCCCAGGCCCACCTTCCAGTCCTCTACCCACAGGTCCATCATCTCTCTCCATTCATGGTGCTGAAGTGTGGCCCTTAAGACAGGAGAGGAATGCGGGGACCCAAAGAGTCTGAGGTTCTTGACACCGAGGACTAAAGGCCAGATTCCAGAACGGGGGTTGTCATGGGGAGGGCACAGTGCAGACTGCTGTGACTGGAGATGGTGGGTTGGGAGCACATGTTCGCCTGTGTGTCTATATGCTCCAGCAGAGGCCACCTGACCAGGGCCACAGCCTCCCCCGGCAAATGAAGAGGGGAGCATGCCAAAGACTGAGCTCAGACAGACTGAGTTTTAGGTGCATCTGGCCCACTACTCACCTCCACTACTCCCCGACCTGAGCCCCAGTAAGGAATGCACTGTGCACACAATAAAGGGCCTAAATACAAATACCAGTGACAAGAACACCCAAAAGTGAAGATGAAGGCTCCAGATAGAAATGTAACCACAGTGGTAAAGCAGAGGGGCACCTTGGGCTTTCTGACTAAAGAAAGCTCTGCCAGGTGGGCCAAATGAGATGTGGGGGGTGGGGGCAGGAGGCAGGGGGGTACATTTGGTACTTGCAGGGATATTTCAAGCATGGGTAGATAGGTTAATTTCTTAAATCTCAAAAGCCCTCCCAAGAGTTCAGATCTGGGTGTGTGTGATTCTGGGTGCGCTTCCAGAGGAGATGGGGATCTGAGGGTGGCTTTCTTCCAGTCGGTGCACCAGGGAGTGTGCACACATTGAAGCCCAGTCTAGCGGGCGAGAGAGATGCGTGACAACCAACTTAGTATGCAAGAAGAAACGGTGCCAGGAGGGTTACAAGCAAAGGACTTCCTAGCACAGGGAAAAGAATGACCAGTTCTACAGGGGGTGAGGAGAACCTCACGGAGGGGAGAGGCTGAAGATGGGACCAAGGTGGAGAATGGGCCTCCAGACACATGAAAGACAAGATATGAGGTTTGGAGTTTAAGAGAAGGAGGAGGGAGGACCCAGGGGGAAATGGTGGGTTCAGAGGAATGTAAAGAGAGACACACGCTGACTGTTTAACACGTGACCTTGCTGATGGCCCCGTCTGGGAGGAAGGGAGGAGCAGAGATGGAGGGCTCCAGATCAGACCAGGCCAGAGGCTTCCTGTGCAGAAATTTGAAGGAAGGTCAGGTAGGTAGGGAAGAGCCTTTTTGAGAAAATACTGCAGGATTTGGTGACTAATGGTCATATGAGAAGGAAGATGAGCTGGAGGCAGAGATGCGGGTCTGAAGACCAAGGCCGGGTGGCTTTGGGGCAGTGGGCACAGCAGCCACCGCAGCCAGTCATCAAAGCAGCCACCCATCAACAGGCTGCTCCCTTTTGTTCTGCATGAATTGGGTACTAAAGCAGCCTGATTGTTGGTGTGCGAGTGGGTGTGTATGTGTGTATGGGGGGGGGGCCTGTATGCTGCTGAGAGAGAAGGAAAGGCCGTTTCCTCTCCCCAGCCCTCTGAAATCCCCAACAAACAACAAACATGGAGCAGGGTAGCGGGGAGCTGCAGGGAGGGGAGTCTGGCCTGGAGCAGAGTGACAGACTATGTGAAGAGATGCCAGGGCGGCTGCCCTGTCTGCAGTGCCCTGCAGAACAGTCCGACGGGGAGTCTTCCTTTCACTCCGCTCCCGCTCCCCCGCCCGCCCGCTCCCCCAGGCCACGGCCAGTTCACGGTCCCCATCCCTGGAAGGAGCCAGAAACACTGCGAGGGACCATGTCGGAGACAAAGGGAGAGGGCCCGGGAGGGCAACGAAAAGATTGGGAGAGCAGAGGAGGAAGGAAAAGCTGAGATCCTGTCCAATTCCGCAGACAAACGGACGGTCAGTGACAGACAAAATGGCCAGCCGGGCGGCCAGGGAGGCCTGAGGCGGCCGCTCGGGGACCGGAGACGGAGCAGCGGCTGCGGGCGGGCGCGGGAGGCCGCGGGACGCGGAGGCGGTTCTCCCACCGCCCCCGGCCCGCTGTCCCGGCCGCGCTGCGCGCCTCGTTTCACACCTCGCCGCCCCCGGGCCCGTCTGTGCGGAGCCGGGAATACCCCCTGCCGCCCAGCCCGCACCTGCTCGCCGCCCCCTCGCTCCCGCCCGCCCGGGAGCGCCGCGGTCGGGGCCGCCCGCCCCCCGGCCCAGGGCTGGCCGCGGCTGGAAGGGGCGCCCGAGCCGGCGCGCGGGGGGACGCGGCGACCTGGAAGGCGAGGGGCGCCCTCCGCCCGCCGCAGCCCGCGGACATCGGGGCGGCCGCGCGGCTCCGGCCCGACGGGGGGCGGCCGCTCTCCGGGAAGGCGGGCGCGGGGGACGCGGCCTGAGCGCGGGCGGCCAGGGCGCCCCTCCGAGGACCGGGCAGAGGGGCGCGCGGGGGGCGCGGCGGCCACAGGGCGTCCGGGGCCGGGCGAGCCGGGTGCGCGGCGCGCGGGCCTGGGTGGCTCCGAGGGCGAGGACGGGAGGGACCGAGGGCAGGAGGGGCGCCCGGCCGGGGTCCCGGGGTCCTACCTCTTGAGGCGCAGGCCGCCAGCCGCGCCGCCGCGGGCCCGGGGGCTCACCAGCCGCGTGGTCTCCGAGCCCGGGCGGCAGGGGAGGGCTCCATGTCCCCGCGGCCCGGGCCGTCCAGGCCCCGCCGAGGGCGAGAGAGGCGGGGCGGGCCCCGCGCCAAGACCCGGCGGCCAGCCGATCCCGGGGACCCCCGCAGGGCCGCGGGGCCACCGGAGTGGAGGGGACTGCGGCGACTGTGGCGCGGGGAGTCCGAACTGCAGATCCCGCGGCGGCTGGAGCCCCGCCCCGCGTGGGGCGAGCTCCCCAAGCCCCGCCTCCAGGTTCCCGGGTCTCTCCCCCAAGACTAGGCCCCGCCCCGGACTCCCACCCCCGTAGCCGGAGCCCCAGATCCCAGCGCCGGAGCCGGCTGGTTACTGGGGGCCCCCTCTGCGCCCCCGCCGGGTTCCAGAGAACGTTCCATGGCCCCACCCCCGCGGGCGAGGCCCGCCCGCCGGGTCCAGCCCCGCCGCCCAGCCCCGCCTCGCCACCCACCTCCGCGCAGCCACGTCGCCCCTCGCCGGCCGCCACCCGGGCCCTTCGCACCACGCGGGGGCACCAACAGGTGTGGACCCAATGCTATAGCTCCAGACAATCAAAGAGAACGTGGGGTGGGGTGGGCGCGCCACATCCGGAAGAACCCCAAGGACTCCGGCCAAAAGCCCGTCTGTGGAGACCGTGGGGTCAGAATTCGCGAGCAAACTCTGCCGCCAGGCGCCGCACCGCTCATTAGCACATATGTTTATAGACTTCGGGTGACAAGTTTCCTACCCTCCTTCAACCCGGCTCCCCTTCAGCCCACCGTGACTCCTGTCTTTCAGATGAGTGACAGAGTCCTGGAGGAAGCAGTGTCCAGGGCCAGCAGCCCAGTTCGGGCCGAAGCCCACCCTCCTTCCCGCGCGGCCCGGCTGGGGCTGCAGCCGCGCGCGCCTCCTCGGTCACTCGCAGGCGGGAGCAGCTGGAGGAGCGGGGAGCAGCGGTGCCACCTCTCTGGGGTCACAGTTCAGTGTTCACGGAGGAAGACTTTGACCAGCTTGTCAGCCGGTGATTCTTACCTCAGAACCCGTAGCACCTTCCTGGGCATTATCTTATTTTGCCTCGTTTTAACTAAAGCCGAGGATAAGGGGGTGACTTACAGCAAAGTCGGTGGCCGGGCCTGGATGCTCTCTGCCCCTCACACCTGCCGCCCCTGTAGAATGAAAAGGGGGTGGGGATCGGATTGTGTGCTCCACTCTGGGACACTCTGTGAAGAGGGGGTACTCAGGAGAAGGCGAAAGAATGAGCGCGGATGGGGAAGCCTGGAAAGTGGTTGTGGTTATTGAGCCCAGGCAACAAACCCCTCCAACACACCCTTCAGAACTCACTGCAAGTCCTGAATTAGGGTTCTGGAGATAGACACCTACCCCCAACATTATTATCGCAAGCAATGAGGCCACAGTACGCATTAAAAAAAGGAAAAGCTGGAGCATTTGCCAGATAGAGTGGTTGGAAGTGATGGAGTTAACCTGGGAAAGCTTCGCGGAGGAGGTGAGGCTTGCACGGATTAGGCAAGCTGGCGGCGGGCTGGCTGTTCGGCGGGGGAGAGACCGGCTCGTGCCAAGGCTTGCGGGCGTTTGTGCGAAGGGATCGTACTGCGCTCGGGAGCAGAGCCGCAGGGAAGAACGAAAGGGTCTGCGAGCGCCCTGGGGTTGGCTCAGTGCCTCCGCCCACTCAGCGGGCCGCGGGAGGCCAGAGGCAGCCTATCCTCCGTGCTCTCCCCGCCCCCAGGGCGCTGCCCAAATCTCAGGGTAGGGGTGACTTTCTACCGCCAATCATCCCCAGAAGCGTGGGGCTTCAGCTTTCTCCTCGGGCCATAGCTGGCAAACTGCGGCAGGGAGTAGCAAAGCCACCCACCAAAGTTACCTCGTTGGTCCATGTCAGAGCCAGGGTGGAACTCATGCCAGGGCCCCAGGCACTTCAGAGCCTGCCAAATATTCAAAGCTCCATTCTGAGAGTCTATGAGCTGAGACCCCAAGGGGCTCAGGGTACTCCAGGGCTTGGATAAAGTAGCCTCAGAGGAAGCCGCCAGGAGAGCTCCAGAATAGGAAAAAACCATGGGCACAAGCAGGGAAGGGGCTTCTCATCAGTAGATGATAACAGGAGACAAAATAACAATGGCTTTGTAGGGTAAAGAAAATGTCAGGCTTTTCTGCCCTTCCGCCATCAGGATAGATGATGGATCCTTGTCCTGAATGCATGCCTGATGGCGGGCACCTGGAGTAGGGTGTGGGCATAGGTAGATGGGATTCAGCTGAGCTAAGACTGTGCTTTTAAGGGCGGCGTCACGGGGACGCCAGCAGCAGCAGTAGAAGCCGAAGCAGAAGCCGAAAGAGAAGCCGAAAGAGAAGCCGAGAAGCAGCAGAACGAACGCTAGAGAGCCCAGATAGAGTGAAGACTTGCTGGGGGCTGGCAGACCTCCCAGCCCCCCAGCCAGCACCCCTGCCTGCCATATGCCTGGTGAACCCCAAATAAAAAACCTGCAAAACCACTGAGGACTCTGACTCCTCCTTTACCCGGTCTGCATGGGATCAGAAAACCTGCACTGTGTCCATTTCCTGCCCCTACAGGCTTCCTGCATGATTTCCCTTCCTGGGCAGCCCAAGGCTCAGGGACAGCAGCCCTAGTGCCTGAGAAGGCGCTGAGACGCTGGCCAGTGCCCACCAGGCAGGGAGCAAGAAAGCAGGGAAAGGAAAAGGGCAGCGGGGCAGGATTAGCGGACTGCCTTTGGACTTGACTCCCAGCTGTAGGGCCTCAGGAAGCTGAGGGCACTGACCAGAAAATACCAAGAATTACCTCTGCTTGGCAATTTATGCAAGAAAAGTCTGGCAACAAAACAAATTGCTTGCACCCATTTTTCAAAGAGCCATCTGTAGGATAAGGAAAAATGTCAGGCTTTTCTGCCCTCCCACCATCAGGATAGATGATGGATCCTTGCGGTCCTGAATGCATGCCTGATGGCGGGCACCTGGAATAGGGTGTAGGCATAGGTAGATGGGATTCACCTGGGCTAAGACTGTGTTTTTAAGGGCGGTGTCACGGGGACGCCAGCAGAAGCCGAAAGAGAAGCTGAGAAAGAAGCAGCAGAAGCTGAGAGAGAAGCAGAGAACGCCAGAGAGCCCAGATAGAGTGAAGACTTGCTGGGGGCTGGGAGGCCTGCCAGCCTCCTGGCCCCCCAGTACCCTTGCCTGCCATATCCTGGATGCCTGGTAAATCCCAATAAAAGACCTGCAGAAGCCATTGAGGACTCTGACTCCTCCTTTACCCAGTCTGCTGGATCATAGAAAACCTGCTCAGTGTCCATTCCTGCTCCCCACAATTGGCGTAGTCGGCAGGATGATCCATGCAGATGAGTATGGAGCCCTCCAAAGATCTGGAGGGACTAAGGAGTAACACTGTGTTTGCCTGTGATGACGCTGGAGGTGCCATGGCGGCACAGAAGGTGGACACGGTCCAGGATGAGACCTCAGCTGGAGGAGGAGACGCCCGAGAGGACCAGCCAGTGACCCCTGAGGAAGCAAGGATCATCAGCGAAGAGAGGACCACAATTCGGAGCTCACCAGTGCTGATGCAGGGAGAGGCCAACAGACTTGGACTAATTGACTTGGACTGACAATCCCGCCAGAAGGTGGAGGACCTTGGCAGGTTATGTCTTTTTGAGAATCTGGGGGTGGCCAGTGGGCCTTGATGGCCAAAAGCAGCCTGTTTATGCCCAGCAGCCAGGCGGAGGAGAAAAGCCAACCAAAAAGGCAAAAGCTGGTGCTGATGCTAAGTTTGGGAAGCCCTGAGTGGCTGCTAAGCACTAAGTAAGCTGAGGAAGGCCAGTGAGTCTCGTAAAATCACCTGTGGGTGATGCCCTGCTCATTGTCGAGTGAGGGTGAGGAACTGAGGAACCCGTCCTTGGGGGACGGGTGGGGAATGTGGCTTGGGGTGGAGCCCAAGCTGAATGTAGAGTTTGTATCCAAGGATCCCCGAACCATGTGCTTGTGCAGTGGCTTGGCCTAAGTGCAGGGGTCTGCGAGTCACATTGGTGGCTACGAAATCCGAGTGTTGGAGCGACTGCAGACAGAAACCCTGAGGGTTGGGTGATTATCCCCAAAGAGTAGAGAATCCCCAATCCTAGAGTGAGTGCCTCCTGGGGGTGGATGTGGTGTGTGGCTTGTAGCCAAGACTACAGCCAGAGAAGGCCAGGAAGCCTGACAGCTCCTGGTATGTTACAGTAGATGCCGTGAGTGATTCCCCTCCCTCGTGTGAGCAGTGCCTTCGGCAGCAGATTTGGTGGCTCATCTGCTGGTACCAATAATAGTCTTTTGCCACTAGGTTGGTGCCCTGCTTGGACTTATTCGTGTTCTGTTGTATTTTGTTGTTATAGTGTGATGTATTTGCTTTTGTGGGCCATGGCTGCACTGTTTATGTTTGCTAAGAAAATTGTATATATGAAGACTATATGGCAGAAAACCCTGAGGGGGTGGACTGTAGGGTAAGGAAAAATGTCAGGCTTTCCTGCCCTCCCACCATCAGGATAGATGATGGATCCTTGCGGTCCTGAATGCATGCCTGATGGCGGGCACCTGGAATAGGTTGTGGGCATAGGTAGATGGGATTCACCTGGGCTAAGACCTAGGGCGGTGTCACGGGGATACCAGCAGAAGCCGAAAGAGAAGCCGAGAAAGAAGCAGCAGAAGCTGAGAGAGAAGCAGAGAACGCTGGAGAGCCCAGATAGAGTGAAAACTTGCTGGGGGCTGGGAGGCCTGCCAGCCTCCTGGCCCCCCAGTACCCTTGCCTGCCATATCCTGGATGCCTGGTAAATCCCAATAAAAGACCTGCAGAAGCCACTGAGGACTCTGATTCCTCCTTTACCCGGTCTGCTGGATCATAGAAAACCTGCTCAGTGTCCATTCCTGCTCCCTATACCATCAAATAGCCGGATGAGAATGTTTGCAAAGGTCCTCTTGAATACCAGGCTTGAGGAAGGCAAGCTGCACCTTGGATAGGAGCATGGAAAATTACGGGGACAGGAGT